TTATATGCTTATTGAAATCCACTTCCCGATAAGCTTTTACAGCCTTCCAGTATGTCCATTTGTGCTTTTTTTATACCAGCAGACCTTGATTTTAGATTTCTATACAAATGAACACCACAAAGTCCATGAAAAGCATATGGGAAACACCTTCTAACAGCGTTGTCATTGAGTTTGCCCTATCGGATATGATTGTCAGATTGCTAATAGGACCTATGCAATCCCTAAGATGCCCCATAAACCATGTCCAGAATCAAGGTTTCAGATTTGCCAACCCCGTAAGCTATTGGCAATATCCCATTGTTAGCATCCATGGCTACTGCTAATAAGTTTACTCCAAGGTATCGACCTTTCAAATGTGCTCCGTCAACTATAATAACTGGGCGCATGCAAGTAATAAACGAACGAATCTACAAAATAATATACATAAGAAATATAATCATTTAAATGTGAAATACATGTAACTAACAAAAATGAGTCAACAAAATTATATTGATTTACTAACCGTAGCACCAATGGCGATAAACAACAACTCAAAGTGTTCATCTCTATCTGTTTTGATATGAGTTACCGACCCAGGATTTTTCAGCTTTAAATTGTGACAATAAGCCGGCAGTTGGGCAAACGATGCTTCTGGCGACCCCCTCAACAATTCCAAGGCATAACATTTGGCTCTCCAAGCTTGAGAATATGATATACTAATCTTGAACCGAGCATTCATGTCAGTCATAATTTCATGTCCCCGATATACCCTGCCATTCAAAAACTTAACTCAGCCAGAAAACCACCCAACACCTTTTTGTTTGCCTGTCTATGGTGAGGAAAAACTTGGGTTCTTGAACATGTATGTTTATCAATAAAAGTCCTAACTTGAAACATTTCGCAATCTTTTATTCTCTTTGCAATCATACGCCACGTACAGTTTTTGTCAATCATACACCTTGTTTCGAAACGATCTTTGCTTGATTTGTTAACTTTTAGTTGATAGCCATCTTCCACACATTTCGTATACAAAGCTATCTTCAAGTCTTCCTTTGTATCAAAACAATCATCTTTCTTGATACGAATAACTTTTGTGTAATAATCAACTTCTTTCTTTACCAACTCTTCTTCCGGTATCTGAAGTAATTCTGGCATATTCCAGTACGCCCGTGGCATTTCTTTTCTTCGGGACTTTTCTTCTTCTTTTTCTTCTTCAGGATTATATGAATTACAGAATGGATGTTCAACATGTTCATTCACAGTCGTAACTTCCTCCTCATTTATCAACAATACATTCTTCGGCAACGGCTGTTTCATCATCAAAATTCGGGTATTGACCAATATCAAAATCATTACACGCAGGGTCTGTTTCTTCTTCTGAAACATCATCAAAATCCGTGTATTGACCAATATCAAAGTCCGGATATTGACCAAGATCAAATTTCGAATACTGACTAGTACTCACAATTTTTCTGTTGGCTCATCATCGTCTAACTGGTCAATACGAAAACCGGAATTTGGTGCTGAAAGTTGATTGGGATTTGGATTAGAGAAAGGTTGTGGGTTTGAGAAAAACTTAGTTGATTACTACCCGCTACTGACCCAACAATACTACTTCTAGTTCAACAACATACAATGTAACATCATCTTGTGAAACACTAATGTAAGCAATGAATCGTTCAGCATCTTCATTGTCGGTTAACAAATAAACTTTACCATTTCTCTGATAAGATAGCCTAAATCCACTTAGGGGCTCTAAATTCAATTTATTTGAAACACGTAGCATTAGAGTTTCATAAGTTAACTTTTGTAAAGACAATTTTAGTTGAAGATTCATGGGTAAAGGCATATATTGTAAACACCATGAACATTATCCCATGACCCTCCAAAACACAAATCTATCCAAACATGATCAACATTAGATGATTTCATGGTTGTAAATTAATTTACTAAACAGACGAGCTGCGAAACTAAAACCTGTTGCCGGATTGGGAAGGATGTCGTTGGATATAAGAACGGATGTCGCCGGAGAGAGTGATAGGAGATGGAATGGTTGCGATTTAGGGATTTAGTTTATGATTTGCTGCTGTTGCGTAGTTATATACCCAAAATTTCAGTGTTGTGATTTACAGATTCTCGTTGCGATTTACGGATTATCGTTGCGATTTACAGATTCTCGTTGCGATTTACGGATTATTACGCGTTGCGATATACGGATACGCATTGCGATTTACGGATACGCGTTGCTATTTACGGATACACGTTGCGGTTTACGGATACGCGTTGCGATTTATGTGTTCGCGTTGCGATTTTCATATTCGCGTTGCGATTCTTTAAAATCGCAATGCGAATTTGTACTATCGCATTGCGATTTTCAAGAATCGCGTTGCGATTTTGGAAACTGATTTGCGATTCTGGGGATCGCGTTGCGATTTTGTTGGTCATTTTGGCAAATCCAAAAAAAGTTGGTTAAAATCGTATATTATAAGGCATTTTTGGTCACTGAGGCAATTTTCTCTTTTTATACATATAAATTTAAATCAGAGGTGACTTCCCCAGTCTAGGATTAATACATACCTAAGACTCAATTGAGATTTACATAAGAATTTACAAAATAACCACCAAAAGTGACAATGGTAGGATTCGAACTTAGCCTTACAAACTCAAATTTTTTAATCTCAATCACTTGTACCAACACTCATTGGCTTCCGTTGAGATAATACAATGACTAAATATATAATTTATCTTTATTAATATATAGGGTAAATTCCACGATTACTCACTAAACTTTATTCTCTCTTACCGTACTTTCAAATTTTCAATTTGCTTACTAAACTTTAGATATTGAATTTTTTTGGTCACTCAGCTGTTAACTTTTTAACATCGTTATGACGTGGATTACTTAAATATTTTTATAATCATTAAAAATAAAAAAAAAATAATTTTTATTCTTTCTTTTTTCCACATTTTCTCATTTTCTCTCCAATTTTCTCTACTTGTACAAATCTAAATTTCGATCATCATGCTGGCTACCATTCTGACCACCACCAGTCATCTTCGTCGAAAATCAATAACTCTCAAAATTTCCATCTAACACGTCTCACCATTTTAAATACAAATTTGACATTTTAACTAAAAAAAAATACCCAAATGACTCAAACCCTATCCTAAATTGTAACCCCGCCCTCCCTCACAATGGTAGGACCTTCATGGATGTTGAAGATGAATGCTCATTTCCATCTAGAACTTGTGGATTTGTAGGCACTTAAATGGTGGCTTCGTAGTGCTTGCATAAACTGCATATTCTTCTGTATCGTGGCGACTTCGATCCTACCTGACCTCTCAACACCATCTCCTCTTCTTCATTTATTGTCTATTATCCAAATTTAGAGCACATATTCAACACAAAATGATTAATGGATGATAATTTTTGTTTTAAGGAGGGAAAAGAAAATTGATCAAACTTACCTTGGAAAACTTACTTTCGATTTGCCTTCAGCTTTGTATCTCATTTGGATTGTGGTTAAAATCATGAGAAAAAAAAAGGAAAATAAAGTAATGTCTCCAGCAAACCATGTTGTGTGGATGGAAAGAACAATTGAAGGAAATGAATTCAATTGTTAAATAAATAAGAGAACAAAGAGGGTGGAGTAATAAATGAGAGTGAAGAAAACAGTCATTGAATCAACCTTGAGAAATAAACGAGAATCGGAAAAGAGAAGATAGTGGAGAGATTAGAAGGGAGAAGAGGAGATGATGGAGAGAGTTTTGATGGTGAGGGTGAGGAAAGTGAACTGAATAAAAAATATAGGTCATGATGGTGTTAAGAAGTAAACTGTGAGTGATAAAGAAAGTTCAATGTCTAAAGTTTAATAAACAAATTAAAAATATTAAAATAACGATAAGTGAAATAGGAGAAAAGTAAAACTCAGTGAGTAAACGTATAAGTTACCCTTATATATATATATATATATATATATATCGGAAAACAGAGTTTCCTGCACGCTGTCACTTTAGCGCCACCCTCCCAGCTTCGTTGTCCATTTCCAGTCTAGGTAAACTACACCGAATGTAACTTAATTATAGGTTAAATAATAAACCAGTCATTTTTTTTCTAAAAGTTATGAAAATGTCACTTAATTAAAATATTATTACAAACATAGCATTTGTCATTAAATATTAGACGACAATAATGATGTGATATGGTCTTAATAATAATTTTAGCCCTTATAATTTATAGTCTTTTAGTTTTACCATAATTTGAAAATTTTTAATTTTTCATATTTAAAAATTTCATCATTTTAATCTTTATTATTCTCTCAAATTTCTTATTTTTCTCTTAAACATATTGTATTACTTTTATGTTACTTTTATGTTATAATAGCAGTTTAGCATTAACCTGTTATTTTTCTGGAATAATAAATTTATTCAACTAATGTTTTAATCCGATGGACTCGCTCGTTTTGATAATATCGTAAAAATGATTAAATTTATAAAAAAAATTAAATATGAAAGGTTAAATTTATTAAATTATTTTAAATTAAAAAAATAGAATATATAAATTTTGAGTACTAAAAATATTATTATATTAGTCTATATTAGACATTTATTTAATTTTAACGACGAAATAAGATGATTCTAATTATATTTTAATTGATGATTTATTCGCTTTTTGAAAAGAAAAATGACTTGGTTATTATTAAACCCATAATTAAGTGGGTTTGGGTATAGTTTACCCTTCTAATTTTCAAAGGCAGCTAAATTAGATTTGTTTTTCGGAAAATAAAAAATATTAATTTCCCCGAAATAGGAAATACGGTCCATTGTTTAATGAAATCGTAGGCCCAAGTGTCAGTGATCTATACGAGGAATGCTTCTTTTCGCACAAATCAAAGCCATTAAACAAATTCTTTTCAACTCTGGTTGGTCCACGTACCCTTAAGCCTTTCCTAAACCACTAGTGGTTTTATAAAAAAAAACTGCCGGTTTTTTGCTTTCTTCCCACAAACTTTCCTTATATAGATGGTTTTATTTTTCCTACTGATATAGAAAAGGACCAAAACGACGTCTCTGAAACTACGGTTTGTCTCCTCCCAAGTTCCTCACTTCTTCTCCAAGCGTTTTTTTTTTGCAAAAATAAATTTTAAAGAAACTCTTTCTTTTTTCTATTATCTTATCTTCTCATTTTTATTTTTGATTAAAAGCTTTTTATTATTTTTCTCGACTTCTTTAATCGAACATCGGGAGTTTTAATTTTCTTCTTCCTTTTTCATTTTTTTTTGAATAATTAGAAGAGGTTAATTGTTTGAGTAATACTGCGGTGAGCTAAAGCTATGGGGAGAGGGAAAATAGCAATAAGGAGGATCGATAACGCGACGAGCAGGCAAGTCACTTTTTCTAAACGAAGGAACGGATTGTTGAAGAAAGCTAAAGAGCTCGCGATCTTGTGCGATGCTGAAGTTGGAGTAATGATTTTCTCCAGCACTGAAAAGCTCTACGACTTTGCTAGCACCAGGTACCTTTCAGATCTCTTTTCATCGTTGATTTTTTTTTTTTTTACTTTTCATGCTTAATTATTATGCTATCTGTTATGCACATAGATAAGATTTGTATGCTTCTTCTCTTAAAAAATCTGTTCTCTATATATTTGATTAAACGCGACAATAAAATGAGAGTTTAATTTTGAAAAATGATAAGGAAATTTAAATGGCAAAGTTTTTAGGTTTGATTTTATAATTTTATGATTAAAAAAATGCATGGATTAATTTTACCCTGTGAATTTAGCTAGAATTCTCTTCTATTCGATTTTATTAAGACTTAAATTGAATACGAGTTCAAATTTGTTGAAAGTGAGCGCATATATAGCCAGTTTCATAACTTGAAGCATAATTACAGATTTTTGAGAGAGTGATTAGTTTTACTGCTTGACTTAGAGGTTTCGATTAGTTTACTAAAATTTCTAGCTCTATAAACACCTATAGGAACTTAACTTATTTTTTTGCTTAGCTAAAACTGGATTAGGAATCTGATTTGAAATGTTCGTGAATAAACTCCCAGTAGCTTATAATTTTTTTTGTTGCTCAGCAACATGTAATTTTATTACCGAATTTTAAAATCACCCCAACCGAGAGTCTCATTAAAGACCCGCCTAAATAGGGGAAAAGAGTACTCCAAGATTGGGATACATACAACCGGTCTAGAAAACATACATGGGCTCTCAATATGCAACAACTAGACAATAACCTTTATAAACATAAGTTAACCTACAAGAACTAGACAATAACCTTCATAAACATAATCTGATTTGAAATGTTTGTGAATAAACTCCCAGTAGCTTATAATTAATCATAATGCGTGGTTAAAAAACTAAAGCAAAAGAGGGTTGAATGTTAGTACCGTCCTTATATAATACTGTTATACTTATACATTGAACTTATATCATTTGAAAATAACTTAAATATTAATACTATTTTCCCACAACTTCATACACCATATATAACCATGAAAGTTTGGAAGATTATAAAGGCTTTGTATTGTGAAACTCGGAAGATTTGTCTGTGGGAATTTTAGTTAAATGCAAGGGTTCAAAGCCTAGAGATATACCTTACAGTGATAAACTGATAGGAACCTTAGAATCTTTAGGTTAAAAAGTTCATCAGGTTACGGATATCTCGATCCCAAATCTAGGTCACTAATTAATAATTATCATTAAACTAAATGAAGAAGGAAGATTAAGAAGAAGAAGAAGAAGAAGTAGAAAAGAATAATATGCTGTGTTGTACGTAGAAAACTTTTCTTTCAAATACACTTAATTTATAAAAAAAACATACCGATATCTATATGATTTTCAATCTTTGTTAAACAGAAGGGAAAAACTTATAATAATGTGAAACATTTTATTGTAGGGTAACATTTATTGTAAACAATCACTAAAACTCATGCATGTTTGCCTTGATATGTTTAGGGAAACGAATTAGGTTATAGTAATATAGTTAGGAAGAAAGTTAATACACTCAAATTAAATTCTTGAGAAAACATTATAATTATTATCATTAATAAAAATAAAGCATTATGAGAAATAACTTTTTAATTAAAACAAAATGCTTGAGATGAAGTTACCTTATTAAAACAATGAACCAATCTTATCCCACCGAAATCAGAGAAAAATATGTGCTATAAAATAAATGAGTATCCATCAACCGAAGGCGCAACGACAGCTAAACTTTAAAAAAAAAAATAAAGTTAGAACTTGTACGAGAAGAGATAAAAAATTTCACTATTTTCATAAGAAAATAAGACTTATTAAATAAAAAATAAAATTCTAAACTTATAAAAATAAATATATAAAATAGAGACATTTGGTGATTGAATCATCTACTGACGTTGATAAGATCAGTCTGAATAATAGGTAGGCGTAGAAAAGAAAAGAAATAATGGACGAAACAAAAGAGAAATATAAAAGGAAAAAAATGAAAGGAAGAAGAGTGAATGAAGAAAGATGGATGAATATACGACAATCCTTAAATAGTAACGATGATAATTAATTGTATTTCTTATACAAAAATTTAAGAAAAAGAGAAAAAATAAAATCTCAACTTTTTCTAAATCAAATATAATTAAAAATGCTAATATATGAAAAATATAAATAAATATAAATGCATAAACATGTTAAAATTTATATAATACATAATAGTTTCTACACTAAAAAATTAGATAAATGTAACACAAACTTTTTTTTTTTTTGCATAATTGTGAGATGTAGTTATGAATTTTATTTTATCACGTCTTCCCCATCCAAAAAAAAAGTATCATGTCTAAACTTTCTTTAAAAGAGTGAAGCACGTGGATGATATTATATTTAGAACTGAATTCTATGCTATGGATAAGTTTAGGCTTTCATTTTTCATTGTCATTGCCACTACAATTTGACCCTAAGAAGATGTTACAACTACACTATTCATCTTTAATTGCCAAAGATGTTTCTATAAAATAAAGGATTTTATAATAGAAAATTGGAAACTAGGCATGAACCTTATAAACAGAAAATGACTTAACATTTGCATAAACTAAGATTCTTATGAAATTTAATATTAGAAAGAAATCAATCTTATAATCATAAAATATGAATAGATTCTTAACTATATTATTTAAATACAATATATAATATGGCACATAGAAATTTGGCTGAGATTGGCGGGTTTCAAGCACATTCAGCACTTGTTCTTTTGTTAATTAAATTTTGTAGGACTCAAGTCCCCCCTTTAGTCATTCTTTATCAATTCTTTCTTAAGGAAAAAAATGCTGGAGATTTCCCCTATATATGATTTTCTTGGATGTGGTGGCTAAAGAGTTAAAACCAGTGACTGGCAAGCAGAAAGTATTTTATTTAACTATTGCCGACCTAACTTTACCATGTCAAAACTTTGGATGGTGGATTCTTATTTTTTGGGAAAAACCTCGAGAAAAATAGGTTCGATGGTCATAAAGTAGGAAAAAACTGGTTTGTGATTCTTCTTTCTTTCTCTACAAGAAATGTATGTAAAAATGTTTTCCTGACTTCTTTAAAATATTATATTCTCATTGTACACTCAATTATTTTTTACCACTTTTTCTTAATTATTTGAAATGACTATTTCGTTTTTCTTAAATAACCCTTTATATTTTTGCCGTGTTCAAGTTAAGGGCAAACCATATAAATAGGATTGGAGTATTGGTAAATCTAACAATATTAGATATGAGACAAGCACTACACAAAAATAACTAGACATAACCATAACTAGAGACATAATCAGATATCAACTCAAAGGGACAAAGTATAACTAAAATAGAAACTGAGAAAGGTAAAATAAAACTAAAATAAAATTAGAAGGGTTAAATAAGCATTTTCTCATCTATTTTCTTAATAATAAAAAATTAGGGATGGGGTAATGGCCCTCTTGAACAAAGTGTGGCTTCATGCATGGACATAACAATATCATAAAAATAATTAAATAAAATACGAATATATAAATTTCTAAACAATTATATAGGATAATCTATTAGAACAATATGTCAATTAAGATTTATATAAATATAAAATATTTTAACTACAATTTTAATATAGATTACATAATTACAACATAGATAGATGAATTACCAATTCCTAAGACGGGGGTTGTGTATATAAAATGAGGGATTACTGTGATTTGTTTCTTGTTAGTATGGAGAACGAAAAGGTAGGCAATATGCATGCAACGATTAGTGTACTCGTATTGTTCTTTCCTCTATTCTCTTTATTGAAACTGTTAAAATTACGGTTTAATCATATTATACACTTCCTCCTAGTCGAAGGAATCTTGCCAAGTCAACATGAATGTTAACTATGATGAAAAACATTCAAGGTTAATTATATTTTGTTCGTAATTTTTTAGTCTATAATATAATTGTGAATCTTTCATCGTTAATAAAATTTATTCCTTATTCTCGTATGACAAGATGAAATATATTGTGATTAGACTTAAATTTCCAGAGAGTCTTATTCGTGGAAGTACACTAGAATGAAGTCCTAGTGAGAATATTAGTGCTAGGTAAAAATAAAAAATTCAATTAAAACATTTATTTTTTTCTCAACAAATAGAGAATTTATTAATTGGAATTTAAAGTCTAAGTTAGGAACTTTATTATAAACTTCCCTAGACCTAAGTGGAAGAAAAGAGTACACCCTAACAAGATTTGAATACAGAATAACAAATACCACCCTGATTCAAAAATCATCACAGTACATATACAGAGCCTGAGGACAATCCTATAAGCATACAAACATAGACCGTCACCCCTAATTCAAAGACCATCACAGTTCACATTCAAACCTATGAGCAATCTTATAAACACAAAAAAATAATATGTTAGTCCCACCAAGCTTTAAACAGCTTTGTTCGGAACAAACCTTGTTTTGCAAGATGGTCCACGAACTCATTCCCCTCTCTTGGAACTTACACGAACTTCTCCCGAGAAGTTTGCCTTGACAACCTATATATCTCGTCAAAAAGATCCCACCATCGCCAATGCCTAAGTGACAGATTTCCAATCTAATTCAACGCTACTTGAGAATCTGATTCAATGATTAAGCTCAGTTATTCCGACCATCCGGGTTCCTTGAATATGATAGGGGATGGCAGTAGAGTAATGAACGTTGCTCGTAGTTGAAGAATTAAGTTTGAGGGTCTAAACTCAATCAAAGAACGGGATGGAAGATAGATTAGATAGTTTCTACCAATCTGTTTCATTGGATATGATGTCATTATTCACTATTTTTGGTGCAATTAGCGCCCTCATCTTAACGATGAACAAAATCATTTTGGGTAGAAACTTTATTTTCAAACACCATCTCGTTTCTAACCAGTCACACACTCCATAACGCTGCTGCAACCGATACTAACCAGACTAATCTTGATGAGCCTGTCAAAGAACTAGAAAACCATAAAGGCAAATAACTCATTAAGGCTCGCAAGGTAAGGCCATCCCTTCGACCACCAACTGCAAAAATTCCTCCAAAAACAGCAGATAAATCTGCATTAAAAAAGAAAAATACATATTAAATCTAAACGTTACATGTCAGACAATAGAAACAATATGTTGTGAATCAAAAAGAAAAACCATAAGAATAATCCAATGAAATTGTTAGAAATTTAGGAGTGAAAATAATAATAAAATGAAATCAACATGAAATACAATCACACAAGATATAAAATTTAACGTGGTTCGACCTTATCTATCTCCACATATGAGAAGGATAATAGTCCGCTATAAATATAAAGATCACGAAGAATACAAATATTTGATACCTCATGTATCCTAAAACTTTGTATTTATATCAAAATCAATTGTATCTCAAATCACTCTCTCAACTTTCGTACAAAACTTCTCTACAACATAAACCCTAAATATCATAAAACAAGGATTGCATCTCTCTAAAATAATTCTCTCATAGTTCTAAATGCTAAGACATACTCTTTATTTATAGAGGCAAACATTTGATCACAAAAAATCTCTATTCGATATGAATTCTTAATAAATTTAATTACCAAGTAATCTTCCATCAGTAGAATTATAACAAAATTTAGCTTATTTTCTAATTAAAAATTAAAACAAATATTTAATAATCTCTCCATTGTAAAACTTTCATTAGAAAATTGATCTTCAAATATTTAGTTACTTCAATTCTTACGGAAGCTATTAACTTTAATTCTTACATAATATTTGATGAAGTACTACTGGATCAATTAATAATTACTCTCTTACAACTATAAATTTATTGTAGCAAAATTCTTCTTACATGTCTCTAGTATCGCTAACCAAATCTGCAAAAATAAATTTCTCTAAAATTTAATAACTCAAACAATGACTTTGATACCATCACTTGTTAGGAATTAATAAGTGAAAAAAATAATAATAAAGCGAGATCAATACAAAATAAGATCACGTAAAATGGGAGATTTAATATGGTTTCACTTTGTCTACCTCAATAAATAAGAAGAGTAATAATCCACTATAAATGTAAATATAACTAAGGATATAAAATACATGATATCTTATGTATCGTAAAACCTTATATCAATTCGAAAATACGCTTTCTCAATATCCATTTAATTGATTTTTATAAATAGCTTAAAAAAAGGTTTGCCAATGTAAAATAGAAGACGAAAGTCTGTTGATAAGGTAACAAGCAGTTTTAACACATTCTTTCCAAAATTTTAAGTATTTTAGAATGAAAATAAATAATCCTAGCCACCTCAAGTAAATTTTTTTAGTATAATTTTCTGAATAATAAGTGTTCGCTTCATAAATAAATAATTTTTAGGCTCAATGTAGCTCGTTCGATCAATCGAAAATGAGCTAAGAGGGGTGAATTGGGTTTAGGGAGTAAAGAGTATAAATATAAGAAAATTTGCACAATGATTTATAGTGGTTCAACGTATCAACTAAGTCTACATTCACTACCTAAGCTCCTCACTTAGGATTTTCCAACAAATCCACTAATTTGTTCTTTCTTTTTCAAGGACAAAGATATAACATTTATAAACTCCTCAACTTTTCAAAGGCCAAACTATAACTACTTCCTTTTTACAAAGGATAAGAAATGTAAACAAGAAAACCTCTAAAAAGGAAGGTGTTTACAAATTAAAGCTTACAAAAACACAAATATTTACAAGAGAAGGAGAAAGAGAAATAAATAATGAAAAGTTTTTCTCTTGTTTTTGATTGCTTGGATAGGTGTTAGTCTGCTTCTTCAAGTGTCCTCAGCTTGTTTTATACTAACCGTTTCTAGCCGTTTGGGAAGGTTTGGAGCCGTTAAAAAAACTTTTTGCACACAAAGTTTTGAAACTTTGGAAAATTTTGAAACTCTTCGAAAGAGTCGTTGAAAAAATATGATCGTTGGATCTAAAGTATCGAAACTTTAATGAAAGTTTCGAAACTCTTGAGATAGTTTCGAAATTATTGGAAAGTATCGGAACTTTTTGGGAAACTGTTTTGGAAAGTTTTGAAACTCTTGTTGAAGTTTAGAAACTTCTGGTCAAAATACTCATTTTAAGGTTTTGATTAAACTTTGAATTATTTTGATGCAAACTTTAAAAATTCAATTTAATCCAAAAACATTTTTCTCTTATTTATTATATCAAAATAATAGTTCTACAAAAGTTAAGAATTTCCTCAAGTCGTGAAAAAGTCTAACATCCTGTTTATCCTTTTAAAAATTCTAACCGATATTTTGACCTTATAGTTTTATTTTATATCAAACATAAAATCTTCATTTAATTTTGAATTTTATTTTATTTTTCAATAAGATCCCATTAATTATTGTCATTCAATTTATTTCTCTCTCTCTCCTAATATATACATATACTTATTGACTAATTAAATTTATGGTTAAGTTTAAATCGACTACATTAAAATTGTTCATTAATATATTACTACTAAGTTAAACATAAATAATTAAATAAATTTAATTTTTGCATACAATAAATTATAAAATATTCCTCCATTTATGAACTAAAATAATTCAATGTTGTGTTTGAATTTAAATGATCTAAAATTATATTTTTGATATGGTAAGATTTTTCAATCATGGAAAGTTGTAATTATATTTAGTATGATTTCTTAAAATTATAAAAAAATTCTCAATTAAGAATAATTGCAAAAAAAAAACTCCTAAAATCGTGATTTTCTAAACACAATTTTATCTTTTAAGAATTAAATTAATGATTTAAATTATAATTTTCTTTTAAACCATATTATTTTATTTTCTATTAAGATCTCACTAAATTTCTTTCATACTAGAAAAGGGACTAAAATGAATGACTGTTAATCTTACATATCTATTTCAAAATTTATGAAAAGCGAGAGGGAATGCCTTGGCATTTACCCATTATTTAAAGTTACACCCCAAAACCCTTTTTCTTCAAATTTTTTACCCTTTTTTATTCTCACACCGATTTTCTTTTTCTTTTCTGCTGTGCGCAATTTCCGTCCGCCTTCCGTCGCCGCTCCCCCTGCTTTCGATTGGTAGTATTTTGGTAAAATGAACCGTTGACCTTGAAGTGTAGAGAGATGATAAGGACCTATAAGTCTATATAGATTAACTCAAAAAGAGGTAGCTTTAGACAGGCTTAAAGGAAACGGGAGCCTGGTTCGTTTAGCTAAAGGACAAACAATACACGAGCTTTAATAGTATTAATATGAAGGTTTCAACAATAGAATAAGACAACGCATGTATCTTAGTAAATGAGACATGTCTCGAACGAGCATGCCAAGAACATGTATTAATAGCTGAAGTTATACAAGAAGATGGTAAATCACAAACAAATGAAACAAACAATTTTAGACAAGAAAAGACGCTATCAATGTAGGTATCAAACGACAAACCATTGGCAGAATACTCGAAGACATAAAGACCAGCCACGTATTTACTAATCCCATTCATCCTTCCACGAGAGTGATCCTGTAGTAGACAAAAATAGCATAATTGAGATCTCTGATAAGTCTAGAAATGGATAGCAAATTATGAGAATTTTGGAACAATTTAGATATTATGAAGAATACAATGAGGGGAAAGAGCAAATGAACCTACATGAGAAATAACATCTTGTTTACCATTCGAAAGATAGACAAATTGAGAATTCATAGTACGTGAAACATGATTAATCAAACAAAGGAAGTCAGAACACATGATCTATAACACTAGTGTCTAGAATCCACCTATAAGATTGACAAACAGATTCATGCAAAGAATTATGAGTAAAAATTGGATGACTAGAAACAATTGGAACTACTTTAAACGAGGCAGAGAAGTCTGAATCAAACACCATGATAGATTGAACATCCTTTTTCTTGGTGAACTTGAAGTTGGGGGGAAAACCAATAAGGCGATAACATTGTTCTTTCTTGTGTCCATTGATTTTACAATGGTCAAGAAAATCATTAAAACGATGTTGAGAAGCACTAGAAGAACCGATGATGCATACAAAATTCTAGATTCAGAAATTGAAGAAATGCCACTTAAATAAGCATGTTATGCTTCTTTCTGAAAGATAAGAGAATAAGCTTGATTGACTGATGGTAAAGATTGCAATAGAAGAATATGACTCCTAGCTGTTGAGGAAGTCTCATTGAACCCTATCAAGAACTGAAACAAACATTGTTGAAGTATATGTTTCAAGTTCTCCTGAAAATTTTCAAAATCGTAGGCCGAAAAAGAAAATAATACATTGCATTCGTCGCAAAGAAGTTTGAGGCAAGTGAAATAGATTGATATAAGGAGGCCACCCTGAATGAAGGTAGCAATCTCGCAGTGGAGGAAAAAAAATCAAGAACCATCGATTTCATCATAGTGGTCCTTCAAATCTTTTCAGAAGAGCACCACTAAAGGCAAACACAATTCTGACGGACAACTCCCGACTAACAAAATTGAAGATCCATGAAAGAACAATTGCGTTGCAACTATCTCAGTAAGGCTTCTAATAGTTATCAAAATCATCACGTTTGCAATCAACATCAATAAACTCTAACTTGCTTTTTGCAAGCAAGGCAATGCGCATCGAACGACTCCAAATGTTTAATTTTCAATTTCAGTGAGTTGGCGCAAAACAAGGACAATGCCCAGAGTGTCAAATGGATGAAGAAAGAGGACATGATTAAAATCAATGGCTTTCATCAGGGCATGAAGGAGATAGAGAAAAAATGAAGAAAAAAACAGTCATGTGGAGATTAACGCAGCTGGGTTCTCCGGTAACGAAAGACAACTTCCAACATTGTAGAAATTTGGTCCATAAACCCCACGCAACTTCACACGACACGAACAAATGAGAGACAGTTTCCGGGACCAGACCACATAAAGGGCAAATAGAATTCACAATCCCGCACACCACGTTTCATCAACTCAATTTTAACCGCCACCTTCTTATGAATAACCTGCCAAACAAAAGACTCAACTACATCCCAACATCGCCTTGAAGAATTATGCTTTTTAAACTCTGTTATCTTCCCATTGTTGTTCACTTAAAGTGTAAATATTCTTAGGAATCTATCTTTTAAAGAAGAATTACATAACCAAGCAGGGTTTCAAGTCGCGGTCGCATTTTCGGTTATTTCGGATTTACCGTGATTGCGGCCGTCGCGGGTAACTCGGACGGCGGCGAAACCGCTATATCACGGCCGAAATCACGGCCGCGGACCGTTTTTTAAAACCATGTAACCAAGTGTCAGACCAAAACTGAATATCTACCCACTTTTAGCTGTACATGATTCCTAAAGCAAGTCCTACAATCGTCATTAGCCAAGCTATTCTTGAGCACCCCTCTCCAAATCCAATACACTTGAGGGGAAGTGAACTGTCAATCACAAGGGATCTCGGATCAATATTGTATTTACTGCAGATCACTCTTTTCCTCTACCACGACTCTTTCTTATTTACAAATTTCCACACTCATTTACCCAAAAGCGCTCGATTCATTAAAATCAAGTCTGTGATTCCAAGCCCCCCCCAACTCCTTTGGTATGAAAACAGAAGGTCATTTCACCCAATGGATCTTCTCAACCGAATTCCCCTATAGGAACTTAGCCATAATAGAATTTAACCTTCTTATAATACATTACGACATTCTAAACATAGACAAGAAGTAAATCGGCAATAAACATAAAACTGATTTTACCAATACCACTCTTCCTGATATGGAGAGGGAGGTTGCCTTCCAACCTGCCAACTTTTTATACAATCTCTGGACGGCGAGCTCCCATAATGCAACCAAATTCTTTTTCACCCCCAAAGGAAGGCCAAGGTACTCCGTCAGGAAGGCACCCACCGCACAACCAATTGAGGCTGCCCACTTCTCCAAGACAACAACTTCTACATTAATCCCAAACATCATACTCTTAGACATATTCAATTGTAAACCAAATATCAATTAAAAAATGACAAACCCTATTTTACATTCTTCAACTTCTCAATGGATGCATTACAAAAAATTAGCAAGTCGTCTGCGAACTGTAAATGGGATCAATATTGTATTTACTGTAGATCACTCTTTTCCTCTACCACGACTCTTTCTTATTTACAAATTTCCACACTCATTTACCCAAAAGCGCCCGATTCATTAAAATCAAGTCTGTGATTCCAAGCCCCCCAACTCCTTTGGTATGAAAACAGAAGGTCATTTCACCCAATGGATCTTCTCAACCGAATTCCCCTATAGGAACTTAGCCATAATAGAATTTAACCTTCTTATAATACATTACGACATTCTAAACATAGACAAGAAGTAAATCGGCAATAAACATAAAACTGATTTTACCAATACCACTCTTCCTGATATGGAGAGGGAGGTTGCCTTCTAACCTGCCAACTTTTTATACAATCTCTGGACGGCGAGCTCCCATAATGCAACCAAATTCTTTTTCACCCCCAAAGGAAGGCCAAGGTACTCCGTCAGGAAGGCACCCATCGCACAACCAATTGAGGCTGCCCACTTCTCCAAGACAACAACTTCTACATTAATCCCAAACATCATACTCTTAGACATATTCAATTGTAAACCAAATATCAATTCAAAAATGACAAACCCTATTTTACATTCTTCAACTTCTCAATTGATGCATTACAAAAAATTAGCAAGTCGTCTGCGAACTGTAAATGGGACATCAAGAAAAAGTTGCCAGATTTACCAATTTCGAAGCCTCTGAACAAACCCAAGTTAACCGCCTTAGACAACATCAGATTCAAAAGTTCACCCACTAAATTGAATAATAAGGGGGACAAGGAGCACCCCTGACGAAGGACGCCTCTGGCAATATGAAATTCTTTCGAGGGAGACCCATTCATTGGGATAGAAATAGGTGTCGAAAACAGGTATTTGTGAATCTATGCGCACCATCTCTACCCAAAACCCATGAGCTCCATAATTTTCACAGGAATATTTTAGTCCAGTGAATCATAGGCGTTTCTGAAGTCTACCTTGAAGGCAACACCATTGAGACCTTTTTTTCTCCAACAATATATTCCCTTGTTAGCTATGAACGAACCGTCTATAATTTGTCTCCTCGGGATAAAGGCAAACTAAGATGGACCGATTAGAGAGTCATTACACTATCTCAATCTTTTCAATCGCACATTCGATAGAATTTTGTATAGCCCTCCAGCGAGGCTAATAGGCCTAAAGTCTTCCAAACAATATGAATTTATCTTCTTTAAAGAAGCTCAAGATCTCACTTTTCAGATTTGGACAAAACTTTTTGAAGAATCCCATATTCAACCCATCAGGATCGGACGCTTTGCTGTTGTTTGAAGAAGCAATGCATCCCAAATTTCCTTCTCCGAGAATGTCCTCTCCAAAAATACTTTTATATCATCCGAAAGCTTTGCTAAATTTAGGTCCATATCCTCCAATCATCGATTTTTTATTACAGAACTCTTTGAAATATTCCACAACACATGACTTTCACAATTCTGGGTCTGAAATCAAACTGTCACCAACTCTTTACGACTTAATAGAATTCACCATTCCCCTATTTGCAGCACATTGATGGAAGAAACTGGAATTCCTATCTCCCTCTAAGAGCCACTTAATTCGATACTTTTGAAACCAAATATGCTTTTCTTTTTTGTACAATTCTCATAATTCTTTCTTTGCCTTTGCCACATCATTTGGAGAAATAGAGAGTTGGATACCTGATTGTAGAGCCAATTCCATTTCATGGATTGATTTTTCAAGATTCAAAAAACGCCCAGGCAGCTTAGAATGTCTATATTGGTACCAATTCTTTATTGCTTATTTGGAACTTTTTAGGATGCTATAAATCCCTTTTTTCCCTACCACCCTTATAAATTTCCTACTTCCATCATATCCTTTAAACCATCTTCCTTCGACATATAATTGAAAAGCCTAAAAGGTCTAGTACCCCAATTAACCCCACAATTTTTCAATATGATAACATTGTGATCAGACAAAGATCTTGGGAGAAGACTATGATTTAAATTCAAAAAGGCTGATAAGAACCGAGAGTCAACCAAAAACATATCAAGTCTAACAAAGGTTGATAACTCCCTATTATTACACCACGTAAAACGACCTCCAGACATGGGGAGATCCACCAAACTAGCTTGAAGGACGAAATCACTAAAGATTATCATAGACAACCTATTGTGGGATTTACCCTCTTTTCCCTCTTGCGACAGATACAAATTGAAATCTCCTAAACAGATCGAACAACTCAACTGGCTAATAAAAGAGAATATCTTGAAAAATAGTGTTGGGATTTGCAGAAGCTCGAATTGACAACCGAAAGATTTGCAAGAGAGTAAATTGACAATAATTTGATTAGGGAGTAAGGAGAGCGAAAGATAGAGAAATTTGAGTTAAGGATTTATAGTAGTTCGACTTATCAACCAAGTCTACTTCCACTACCTAAACTCCTCACTTAGGATTTTCTAACAAATTCACCAATTTG